ATATCATATCATATCATATCATTACCAACAATATGCCATGCATCTGGCATGTGCACCGCACATGGCAATGCCTTGACACGACACGGTCATCACGGTCTAAAACCGAGGTCTTTCCGAGGCGTTGGCGTGACATCTTCCCAGAGAAGTGTTGCGCCACGAAGCCATAGAGACACAGAAGCAGAAAACCATTGTTGCGATGCCACAAACCTCGGGAGATACCCCAGAAGATCGGATACTATCGGATACCTGATGATTACTCATGGTTCATGCTAATGCTTCCATTATCAATATATATATATACATACATATACATATACATATACATATACATATACATATACATAAACATATACATATATATATATACATATAAATATATATATATATATATCCGGAAATATCAGTAACAGTTTATACAGCATGTGGGGCTCTGCAAAGGTTTGCAGTGAGACAACTGGGCAGCACGAGGCAGTTTTGGTTCCCCACTTACAAGGCCACCCAAGACCACGTAGTCCAAGGGCAAGTTCAGGTAGCTCGCGTACATGGAAGGGCTGGCCTTGCAATCCATCTTCGAACTTTTGGCTGGTGGTGCTATGTCTTCTAGAAGATTCTGCTAATACAGTTGAGGGCTGAAGTCACAGCAGTTTGCTTGTGGACAAACCGTTGAAAAGTCGCCACGACCGGTCACAGGGTCAAAGCAATCAATCTCCGAGATGATGGCTGGCTGATGTTCAGCAACAGAGTCGACCAAGGGATTTCCAGTCTTCGTGTGCTTGACGAACCTTGGACCAAATTTGACGAGAATTACCCAAATCTTGCATTCTACATGGGTGCAGATGAACGTTATAGTTTAAGCGTTGTAAACGATGCATGCGATGCATATGACGTACAACATGGCTGCAACAGTTTATCACCTTATTTGAGTTATTTTGTGCATAAAATGACTGCCTACAATGTAACTAAACCATACCATGCCCTACCATACCATACCTTTACTGGACTTGACATGACATGTATATACCTGCTACTTGTTTCCTGACAAAACCTTCTGTTCTATTAATCAGATTCTATACCCTCTGGCAGTTTAACATAACTATGGAAAATCACCATTTTTAATGGGTAAACCATCTATAAATGGCCATGTTCAATAGCTTTTTGTATGTTTACCAGAGGGTAAATTTCGCAGCATGACAGCCTCACAGCCTATCGCATGGAGATATCTGTCGGTCTCAGGGCATCCCGACAAGCCCCGTATCCGTGAGGAGATGGGGCCGAAGTACCTGCGAAAAATGTGGGCCCCAGGACACGACGTCGCAATGTCGGATTCAAAATGATTCACAATGGATTGGATTAAGGGAAAATTTACAGGAAAACCCCATGTTTAGTGGGAAAATCTATGGTTTCCTGTAAATTTTCCCTTAATCCAATCCATTGACAAAATGATTCACCACAAATGATGAAGACGTGCAGACAAAAAAACCTCTGTGTAGATGCCAGATTCGAAAAATTACGTAACACCGCAAATGAAGAAATAAAAACCTCTCTGCATTACACACGTAGAGATGCAATGATATGCATGTAGAATCTGGCAGAGAGGTGATGTTCATTTCTTGTAATCATATTGCTTATCCCTCCCACAATTCGAACAAGTTTGTCAGATCTGCTGACATAGTCTCGCAGCAAATCGTGAATCTGTCTGGCGTTGATCTTTCCCCAGACCATCGGGCGGAATACTTCCCAACCGCCAAACAATAAACCAACTTAAAGGGGTAACTTGTTGTTGTGCACCATTTTGTCTTGATTAATTTCGATGACTGGACCGGCAGTATCTGCACTTCCAACTCACAACAAGATCAGTACAAGATCTTGGAGGAAAAAATCCGGCTCTCAAAATAACAGATTCACAACAAACAAGGATAAAAAAAAGGTACGAAAACATATACAACAGTTGTAAAAACAACTACAACCATCCAAAAAAAGGATGAAAAAAACTCTGAAAAACCGAGCGATGCGCAGCCGATGCGGCGCGGGTCACCCAGTGGGGTAAAGAGCAGCGCAAACCAACGCTGTGACAACCACCAGCGCCGCCATAACCTGAGCCACAGCCGTCGCCGACTGAAGGACTGGAAATATATATTTGTGCATGTATGATACACTTTACACTAAGTTTGACACTTTCTGACACTATTTGACACTAGTTGACACTTTGTGACACTAGTTGACACTATTTGGCACTCTTTGACACTAGTTGACACTTTGTGACACTAGTTGACACTATTTGGCACTACTTGACACTAGTTGACACTTTGTGACACTAGTTGACACTATTTGGCACTACTTGACACTAGTTGACACTTTGTGACACTAGTTGACACTATTTGGCACTCTTTGACACTAGTTGACACTTTGTGCTACTTGACACTAGCTGACACTTTGTGACACTAGTTGACACTTTGTGACACTAAGTTTGACACTATTTGGCACTATTTGACACTTTGTGACACTAGTTGACACTATTTGGCACTCTTTGACACTAGTTGACACTTTGTGACACTATTTGGCACTATTTGGCACTATTTGACACTATTCGGCACTTTGTGACACTAGTTGACACTTTGTGACACTACTTGACACTAGTTGACACTTTGTGACACTAGTTGACACTATTTGGCACTCTTTGACACTAGTTGACACTTTGTGACACTAGTTGACACTATTTGGCACTCTTTGACACTAGTTGACACTTTGTGACACTAGTTGACACTATTTGGCACTACTTGACACTTTGTGACACTAGTTGACACTATTTGGCACTCTTTGACACTAGTTGACACTTTGTGACACTAGTTGACACTATTTGGCACTACTTGACACTAGTTGACACTTTGTGACACTAGTTGACACTATTTGGCACTCTTTGACACTAGTTGACACTTTGTGACACTAGTTGACACTATTTGGCACTACTTGACACTAGTTGACACTTTGTGACACTAGTTGACACTATTTGGCACTACTTGACACTAGTTGACACTTTGTGACACTAGTTGACACTGTGTGACACTAGTTGACACTATTTGGCACTCTTTGACACTAGTTGACACTTTGTGACACTAGTTGACACTATTTGGCACTCTTTGACACTAGTTGACATGTGACCCTAGTTGACACTCTTTGACACTAGTTGACACTTTGTGACACTTTGTGACACTAGTTGACACTATTTGGCACTACTTGACACTAGTTGACACTTTGTGACACTAGTTGACACTATCTGGCACTATTTGGCACTACTTGACACTAGTTGACACTTTGTGACACTAGTTGACACTATTTGGCACTCTTTGACACTAGTTGACACTTTGTGACACTAGTTGACACTATTTGGCACTCTTTGACACTAGTGGACACTTTGTGACACTAGTTGACACTATTTGGCACTATTTGACACTAGTTGACACTTTGTGACACTAGTTGACACTATTTGGCACTACTTGACACTAGTTGACACTTTCTGGCACTAGTTGACACTATTTGGCACTATTTGACACTAGTTGACACTTTGTGACACTAGTTGACACTTTCTGACACTATTTGACACTAGTTGACACTTTGTGACACTAGTTGACACTATTTGGCACTCTTTGACACTAGTTGACACTTTGTGACACTAGTTGACACTATTTGGCACTATTTGACACTAGTTGACACTTTGTGACACTAGTTGACACTATTTGGCACTAGTTGACCCTAGTTGCCACTTTGTGACACTAGTTGACACTATTTGGCACTACTTGACACTAGCTGACACTTTGTGACACTAGTTGACACTATTTGGCACTCTTTGACACTAGTTGACACTTTGTGACACTAGTTGACACTATTTGGCACTCTTTGACACTAGTTCACACTTTGTGACACTAGTTGACACTATTTGGCACTACTTGACACTAGTTGACACTTTGTGACACTAGTTGACACTATTTGGCACTACTTGACACTAGTTGACACTTTGTGACACTAGTTGACACTTTCTGACACTATTTGACACTAGTTGACACTTTGTGACACTAGTTGACACTATTTGGCACTAGTTGACCCTAGTTGACACTTTGTGACACTAGTTGACACTATTTGGCACTACTTGACAGTTTGTGACACTAGTTGACACTATTTGGCACTACTTGACACTAGTTGACACTTTGTGACTCTTTGACACTAGTTGACACTTTGTGACATTAGTTGACACTATTTGGCACTACTTGACACTAGTTGACACTTTGTGACACTAGTTGACACTACTTGGCACTACTTGACACTAGTTGACACTTTGTGACACTAGTTGACACTATTTGGCACTCTTTGACACTAGTTGACACTTTGTGACACTAGTTGACACTATTTGGCACTACTTGACACTAGTTGACACTTTCTGACACTAGTTGACACTTTCTGACACTATTTGACACTAGTTGACACTTTGTGACACTAGTTGACACTATTTGGCACTAGTTGACCCTAGTTGACACTTTGTGAAACTAATTGACACTATTTGGCACTAGTTGACACTTTGTGACACTAGTTGACACTATTTGGCACTACTTGACACTAGTTGACACTTTCTGACACTAGTTGACACTTTCTGACACTATTTGACACTAGTTGACACTTTGTGACACTAGTTGACACTATTTGACTAGTTGACACGTTTTGACACTTGTTGACACGTTCTTACACTACTTGACACTATTTGGCACTATTTGACACTAGTTGACACTTTCTGACACTAGTTGACACTAGCTGACCCATGTTGACACTTTCTGACACTGTTTGACACTAGTTGGCACTTTCTGACACTAGTTGACACTTTCTGGCACTATTTGACACTAGTTGACACTTTCTGACACTAGTTGACACTAGTTGACACTATTTGACTAGTTGACACTTTTTGACACTTGTTGACACTTTCTTACACTACTTGACACTATTTGGCGCTATTTGACACTAGTTGACACTTTCTGACACTAGTTGACACTTTCTGACACTAGTTGACACATGTTGACACTTTCTGACACTAGTTGACACTATTTGGCACTCTTTGACACTAGTTGACACTTTGTGACACTAGTTGACACTATTTGGCACTTTTTGACACGAGTCGACACTTTTTGACACTATTTGAAACTTTCTGACACTAGTTGACACTTTCTGACACTGTTTGACACTAGTTGGCACTTTCTAACACTAGTTGACACTATTTGACACTAGTTGACACTTTCTGACACTAGTTGACACTTTCTGACACTAGTTGACAGTAGTTGACACTTTCTGACACTATTCGACACTTTCTGATACTAGTTGACACTTTCTGACACATGTTGACACTTTCTGACACTAGTTGACACTATTTGACTAGTTGACACTTTTTGACACTAGTTGACACTATTTGACACTAGTTGACACTACTTGACACTAGTTGACACTTTCTGACACTAGTTGACACTTTCTGACACTAGTTGACACTTTCTGTCACTTTCTGACACTTTCTGTCACTTTCTGACACTAGTTGTGACACTAGTTGACACTATTTGACACTAGTTGACACTAGTTGACACTTTCTGACACTAGTTGACACTTTCTGACACTAGTTGACACTGTTTGACACTATTTGACAATTATGTGTGCTATTTGACGCGATTTGACGCTGTTTGACACTATTTATTTGACATTAGTTGACACTATTTGACAATTATTTGAGGCTATTTGACGCTCTTTGACACTATTTCATGCAATGTGATTTGACACTATTTGACTATTTGACACTATTTGACAATATTTGACATTAGTTGACACTATTTGACAATTATTTGAGGCTATTTGACGCTTTTTGACACTATTTCATGCAATTTGATTTGACACTATTTGACTATTTGACACTATTTGACGCTATTTGACAATATTTGGCACTATTTGACACTATTTGACACTATATTGAAAATTATTTGACAATTATTTGATGCTAGTTGACTGTCATTTCAAATTCATTGAAACCAGTTCTGGCTCAAACCCAAGTTCTTCGGTGGCAAATGGCCAAGCGATGTTGTTTGAATTTCGTTTGAGCTGAGACATTCACTTATGAGGCAAGTGAAAGTGCAATAAGAATAATAGAATAAGCGACATTCTTTGGAAAAAAAAACACAATTTCACAGACTGTGCATCTGACTTTGATTCGGAAGACCGCAAAGTCAAAGGCAGCCATCTGTCGCCTCCATGATCTGAAGGACTCTAAGCAGGAAATTGCGGGTCCCACAGCACTTCCAAATTCTCAAACCTTCCAGCTGCAACTCGGTATACTCGGTGCATGGCGCAACGGGACACCCGGGACACCCGGGACACACCTTCGCCTTTGCCAATCGCAGAAGGCAAGCACTTGATAGCCGACAAACACCATCAAGGGACCTAACCTGGCGAGACAAGGATCGGCGTGAAGAGTTGACCATCCACATTGACGGTGCAAAAAAATATCATCAGCTCCTGGCTGTTCCACGGAGCGCAGCGGTTGTAAACCAACCACTGGAACCTGCATGGCTCCTGCTGTCCCCACCTGGCTTCACTGTGGAAACTTCGCACTTTCCATTCTTTAGATATCTTTAGATTCTCGAACTCAGGGCCATGCTATGTAGAAGATGCTGTAGGCCTTGTGCACCTGTCGAAAAGCACAACGGTGCGTAATACGTGTAATACGTGTAATGCGATGTGATGCAATCCCATCTGGCCATACGCCATGCATTGCCATTGGGCCATGCATTTCTCCCTGTCTTCCTGCCCCGCTCAACTCTGAAGTTGCTAAGTTTCACAACTCGAAATTTCTCGAAGAGTTACAATAAACCCGTCTTGCGAAGACTTCTAGCTTTAGGGCACGGTTGTATTCGGAAACTCCCAGGAGGGGTGTCATGGAAACTACTGGCATGATCTGCGAGAGGTCAATACTGCACAAAGCTGAAGCTCATTTTCCCTGTCACTTCTCAGCTCAGAGAACGGTTTTAGCAAAAGCAGCACAGCTATGGTTTATTACAATAATTCAAAGTTACTATGCCAATCATAGCTGTGTTCTCAGGCTTGGAACATTCCGAACATGTGATGACATGAACAAAGGGGGTAGCGGATTTGATCCCTTGGAATCTAATCCCTTCAATGCTTCCTGAATACGACGGAGCAGTTTCTGAATACGGCAAAATAGCTGCTCGACGCAGTAGTTTCTGAATTCCCAGTTTCTGACTCCAGTGGAGTTTCTGAGTCCGACCAAAAACCTCCAGGTTTTAACATGTTTAACGGAAAAAAACAGGCAATATCGCCTTCCCCAACTCGTCTCCAATCATTTGGCCAAAGAATGTGGAGGCAAAAGCTGGGACTTTCAGATGCTTCACAATGGAGGACAATGGAGGATCAGCAAGTAGCAAATGTAGCAAGTAGTACGCCCACAGCTTTGCGTTGGGATTGATCGTCGCCACAGGTAGTTATCAAATCGAGAACGACCGTCTTGAAAGATCGTGTTAGATTCTGAAAGATTGAGTTCATTCAATATCTTCATAGTCACCATTAGTCACCGAATATGCCAGTGTTCACACTGGGATAACTGGATAAAAATGAGGTAACTTAGGTCATTCGCATGTCATTAGGATGTTGTTTTGCTGGTTGTTTCTGAGGTCAGAGCCCCCGAATTGAAGCGCCCCAAAGCTGCCAAGAGAGCTGCATGGAGCCCAACCCTGGACAACACAGGGTGGAGGTCATCGACAAAGACTGGAGAGGGACAAAAAAGCATCTACAGACAACATATTATATTATATATTATATATTAAATAATATATATATATATGTTTATACAAGTATATATATATATATACAAAACCCCGGGTTTTGGTCCGAAACCTCGGGTTTGCATCCGAAAGTATGGGTTTCCGACTGAAACCTTTATTTTTAACGGTTCTTGGCTATGAAGGTATATTGTCTTTTATATTCAAATTAAGATGAATCAAGATGAGACTCTCTGAATACAAATGAATTCACCGCAAAGCCTATGACATCTGAGCGGCTATCTTCATCAACTGCCAAGGTCTGGACATGTTGATCACAAAAATGTATCCACCCCAAGCCTTGTCTGGACAGTTTGCACTCTGCAGAACCGCAAAAAACATGGAATGAATCCAACGCTCCTCAGTGTTTATCTGGGGACTGTCTCGTACAATCTTCACCACACGATTTCTAAGCTGTCAACTGCCACCATGTAGAAGTAGGAGAGGCCTTCGCCGGAGGCAGCGTTCAGATTTCCGAATTGAGTTCATAAAAGAAGAAAGAGGAAACAAGGCAGCCACGAGGCAGCCACGTGGCAGCCACGGGGCACTGGCCATCGACAAGACTTGCGACACAAATTTTGTTGCCAGAGCCTGCAAGTACGCTGATGGGCCAGTGTGAGGGAGTCCTCACACACAAGAGCCACCTGAAATCAGCACACCAGTCCAGTACTCGTTACACATCTGTGACGATCAGTGACTGCAATGCCCTTTTTTTTGTCACAGCAACTTGTTGGATCTGTGCTTGGTCTCCGAGCAACCAAAAAGTGGAGCAAATAGCAGTGACTGCAACTGCTTCGTTGTCGAACTCCCCTCCGACAGACCTGAAAGGCATGTGTGCTGAGGCAGCAAACGATGAAGAGCTTGGTCTTGATCGGTTGGACACAAAAGCTTCACAATCCTTTGTCAGTTGTTCACAATTAAGCAGTGTTACCCCTGTTGCTTGATTTTTTCTCAGGGGGATTATATAATACATACATACATACATACATACATACAAACATACATACATACATACAAACATACATACATACATACAAACATACATACATACCATTACATTACATTACATTACATTACATTACATTACATTACATTACATTACATTACATTACATTACATTACATTACATTACATTACATACATTACATTACATTACATACATTACATTACTTACATTCATTACATTACATTACATACATTACATTACATACATTACATTACATTTACATACATTACATACATACATACATTACATTACATACCATACATACCATACATACCAACATACATACATACATACATACATACATACCATACATACCATACATACCATACATACCATACATACCATACATACCATACATACCATACATACCATACATACACTACATACATTACATACATGACATAAATTACATTACATACATTACAATCATTACATACATTACATACATGACATACATTCTACATTACATTACATACATTCCATTACATACATTCCATTACATACATTCCATTTACATACATTCCATTTACATACATTCCATTTACATACATTCCATTTACATACATACCATTTACATACATTCCATTTACATACATACCATTTACATACATACCATTTACATACATACCATTTACATACATACCATTTACATACATA